GATTGCGCAATATGCTAAAAAAACCTCCAAATGGGACAGGGGGAACTTCTGAAGCTTCCCTCTCCCTCAGTTGTTGACTGTTGGTGTGATAAAACAAACAACAACTATATTATATTATATTATTATATTATATATTATTATATTATATTATATATTATTATAATATTATAATATTATTATATTATATTATTGTATATTATATTATTATAATATATTTTATATATTATATATTATTATATTACGAAAATAATTACGAAATAATTACGAAAATTGGAAAAATTGTTTCGATTCTTAATTACTCCTCACACTATTCCAAAATGGCTCAATATCGGATCGTAAGCTAATTTAAATACGAATTAATAACGAATTACGAAATTAACGAACGAAACTGCCCAGCCCTATTAGATATTTTTTGTGAATTGTTTTGGTGAAAATCACTCTTACATATGGAAATTGTGATTCTGGTGCAAACATTGATCACTCTTTCCAGAAATATGAACTTTTTTGTGCAACAGTTCCGCACAAAAAAAAAAATCATTCCTGGAAAGATTGGGAGTTGCATGATTTTTTTTTGTGCAAAAACAGTTATAAAATAATCACATATGAACTCTTTGTATAATATTGTTCTTTGTTGTATACAACAAGCAATTCTGCACAAAAACAATACTATTTAGAAACACTCTTTTTTCCAATAACATGAAGATGGGATTGTCGCAAAACCATATTTTTCATGCAAAAAAATTCCACATGTACGTCTGCAGAGAAGACTTTCTCCTGACCGAGTGAGATCTGGACAGAAATACTAATATCTCCCCACAGTGGGGAGGAAACGGTAGAAATTATTCCTTCTCGCTTATGAAGATGAAATTGTCAAATATTTACATTCCCTTTTACTCCATTAGATAAACACTGGTAGGATTTCAGCAGATGTTCTCAGAAATACATTTCCTCGTCCCCTAGAGACTCATCTGTGGTTCAAAAATAAACAGAATCACTAGACCTCAGTGCGTTAATAATTATCCTGCAGAATTTGGGACTGGAAAACTGGCCTTGCCAATACTTTCAATTTCTCTTTTGGTGCCAATAGTTCATTGCTCTTGTTGGAATTAAGTATCTACTGTGGGTTCACAAATGGCACTACCTTCCCATGATGGTGGGTTTGGTGAAGTATCTCTCAGAGAAAATGGAAATGGCACCATGACTAATGCTTGTAGTTTTTGTGCAGAAGGAGGCATGGTGAACCTCTTTATGAAGTTCTTACACCACAAAAAGACCACTGGCATTGAAGCCATAATCCTCCACCATCAATTCCGCTGGACTGGGCACGCTGTCTGAATGCCCGATCATCATCTCCCAAAGCAATGACTTTACTGAAGAATGGAAAATGAAAAGTTTGTGGACAGGGAAAGAGATGGACTTACAACTAACTTAAAAGGTGGACTTACAAGATGGACTTACAACTAACTTAAAAGGTGACCTAGATCAAGATCTGGGAAGCATTGGCGCTCGAGTATGAATGAGCTAATCTAAAATGAAACAAGAGATAGCACCAGAAGATGAGTTGTGCAGGTCGGAAGACACTCCGTGAGCTACTGGAATACAACAGAGGACAACTACAACTAACGCTGTGGCTAAAGATGCAACCAGACTTGAGCCAAAATGATGTTTTCACTTTGGCTCAAGCCTGGGTGCATCTTTAGCCACAGCTGCTGTTGACGGGTTGAGGTGCTGTTGACGTGTTGAGGTGAAAGAAAAGTCTGAAGCTACACAACACGCTTTATAGGGGCATGGAATGAGAGAATCAGGGGAAACTAGATTCAGTGGAACAAGAAATGAAATGTATAAACATTGCAACACTTTAGATGAGTGAGCCCGAGTGGACAGGAAAAGGACATTTTGGATGACACGGTGTTTGACTCAGGAAATGCAAATCTCTTCTTAGAGGGTGGCATTAATGGTGAAGAGAAAAGCAGCAAAAGAAGTCAAAGAACTTGAAGCCAAGTGATCGAGTCATGCAAATAAGACTTCAGAGAAAGCTCCTCAATACAACCATAATCCAAGGTTATGTGCCAATTACAGAGGCAGAAGAAAACAAGCTTCTCATGAGGAAGAACTTCCTGACTGTGAGAGCCGTTCAGCAATGGAACTCTCTGCCCCGGAGTGTGGTGGAGGCTCCTTCTTTGGAAGCTTTTAAACAGAGGCTGGATGGCCATCTGTCAGGAGTGATTTGAATGCAATATTCCTGCTTCTTGGCAGAATGGGGTTGGACTGGATGGCCCATGAGGTCTCTTCCAACTCTTTGATTCTATGATTCTCTGCTGGAGTCCTGGAAGAAACTGGCCACACACCAAAACAGGACTTCTTATTAATGATAGTAGATTAGAATGCAAAGGCAGGAAACAGAGTGGAATCAAAGAACAAGGATCAAGAAATAAGTAGGAGAGCAACTGATCGATAAACATCATCTGATGGCAAATACAGAAATCAAGTAGACCCGAGGAGCCACCACAGAGAAGGCTCTCTCCCTTGTCTGCACCAACCATGCTTGTGACGGCGGTGGGAGTGAGAGAAGAGCCTCCCCAGAGGATCTTAGAGTATGTGCTGGTTCATAGGGGAAAACGCAATTGCGAAGATAGGCAGGTCCCGAATCATTTAGGGCTTTGTAGGTGATCACCTGCACTTTGTATTGGGACCGGAAACTTAATGGATGACAAATGCAATTCTTCAAGCAGTTAAGGACATTCAGTCCTGCCTCGCAGTTTAAGATCGTCTGGGGAGGCCCTGTTCTCGCTCCCGCCAGTGTCACAAATGTGGCTGGCGAGGACGAGAGACAGGGTCTTCTCGGCTATGGCCTCCCGCCTATGGAACTTGCTTCCCCCAGAGGTAAGATTGGCTTCATCCCTCCTGCCTTTTCGCAAGAAATTGAAGTCGTGGTTCTGAGAGCAGGCTTTTGGACAGCAGGCATAAATAGCACTTTGGATATCGAATTCGACTGGAATGATGATATGGCTGTGTTTTTACTGTTTTTACTGTTTTATTGCTTGTAATGAACTGTTTTTTATTTTGTTTTGTTATATGTAGTGGCATTGGATGTAAGCCGTCCTGAGTCCCCCTTCAGGGGTTGAGAAAGAACGGGGTAGAAATACTGGAAATAAATAAATAAAATAAAAAAGTAAAAGGTGACAAAAATAGAGTCAGAAGCTGAGCCACCAGAGCCAAGAAATTCAGTTGCAAGGAAGCTAAATGAAGCTGAGTCATTGGGAGCAATAAGGGTGATAAATGATGTCAAGAAGGAAAAGAAGCCAGAGAAGGAAAGGGCAACAACCAAACAACAACCAAACAACAACCAAACAACAACCAAACAATTTCTGAGCCAGGCTCTTCTTCTTCAACTCGTTCAGCTTCACCAGTTACAGGTGGTTCACAGTACCATCGCCTGTGAACCATCACCTCCTCCTGAGTAAAATGTATAATATCACAAAGGACCTCACCCGCCTCATAGGAAACCTGCTACAAAACAAGAGCTTCTTTGTTGAGTTCCAGGGCCAGAGAAGCAGATGGTGGAAACAGAAGAACGGCCTGCCTCGCGAGTGTGCTTGCCCTATCCATGTCCAACATCTACACAAATGACCAGCCACTGCCAGAAGGGACGGAGAGCTTCATCTATGCTGATGATCGTGCCCTTACCGACTACTACAGGGAAAACCAGCTGATCTCCAACCCATCTAAAACACAGACATGTACTTTTCATCTCAAGAACAGGCAAGCATCCCAAGCTCTGAGGATCACCTGGGAAGGAATCCCACTGGAGCATTGCAGCGCACCCAAATACCTGGGAGTCACTCTGGACCATGCTCTTACCTACAAGAAGCACTGCCTGAACATCAAGCAAAAAGTGGGTGCTAGAAACAATATCATACGAAAACTGACTGGCACAACCTGGGGATCACAACCAGATACAGTGAAGACATCTGCCCTTGCGCTGTGCTACTCTGCTGCTGAGTATGCATGCCCAGTGTGGAACACATCTCACCACGCTAAAACAGTGGATGTGGCTCTTAATGAGACATGCCACATTATCACGGGGTGTCTGCACCACTGGAGAAATTACACTGTCTAGCTGGTATTGCACCACCTGACATCCGCCGGGAAGTAGCAGCCAATAGTGAAAGGACCAAGGCAGTGACATTTCCAGCTCATCCCCTGTTTGGGTATCAGCCAGCACATCAACGGCTTTGATCAAGAAATAGTTTTCTAAGATCTACAGAGACACTCACTGGAACACCCCAGCAAGCGAGTCCAAAAGTGGCAGGCTCAAACACAGAACCTCAATCAATGGCTGATATTAAATGAGAGACTCCCTCCTGGGCATGCAGAAGACGGCGACTTGGAAGGCGCTGAACAGACTGCGCTCTGGCACCATGAGATGCAGAGCCAACCTTCAGAAATAGGGCTACAAAGTGGAATCCACAACATGTGTGGAGAAGAGCAAACCACTGACCACCTGCTGCAATGCAACCTGAGCCCTGCCACATGCACAATGGAGGACCTTCTTGCAGCAACACCAGAGGCACTCCAAGTGGCCAGATACTGGGCAAAGGACATTTAATCAACTACCAAGCTGGCAAACTCTGTTTTGTCTGTTTGTTGAAAATTTGTTAAAAATGTAATACGATTGTCTGGTTGCTACTGACATGATAAATAAAAACAAAACCTATCAGATGTAGAGAAACATCCGTTTTGTTTTGTTTTTTTATCTCCAGACTGCCAGAAACAAACACCATTGCCTAAAACTCTTTCTTTATTTCCTGGAATCTTTGACAGACCAGCAGCCAATCACTTTTGGACCATCACTGAGAAGGGAGTGAAAGAGCATTGGACAAAACGCACAACTTTCTGTGTAGGACTCAAACACTTGTAATGTTTCTCTTGCTTTGCCTTCAGACCAGAAAAGAGCACCTTGGACCATCACAGTTCACTACCTGTCTTGCCTGCCTTACCTGGGATGGATGTAGGTAGGGTTCAGGTGAAGCCAAGTTTGTCTGCACAGAGACACTCTTCTCCAGCAGGATCTGTGGGAAACCCAACTTCTCAAAGGTGTTCCTCTTCCAGTGCTTGTTCTCCTGCTGGGCCAGGGCCTCATCCTCACTGAATGCCCGCACCACCGGCCCCGGCATGGGGAGTGGGACAGCCCCGTCGCTCTCATAGCCCGAACCGTCTTTCTGGGAGTCCCAGCTACTCCGCTGCTTCATATGGTAATGCGCTTGCTGGGCTTCCCACGCCAGCCGGGCCTGAGCCAGGAAGGGCTCCGGAAAGCCTCGGGTCAATTCCGCCTCCACGGACCTACTCTCCATGCGATTCATCTGGGGCCGGCCACAACCGGACGGGGGCCTCTCCTCGGGCAGCCCTTCCTCTCGCTCCCCGGAGCCGTCGGTGGAAGAGGCGTTGGGATCATAAGAGAGGGAGGGCTTCCGACTCTTCCGCTTGCGGGTACCCGGGGAGTAACCAGTGGAGGACAGGGTGTTCTGCTGGCTGGACCATGACATGGAGTCCTCGCCCTGCGAGGTCTGGCTGACCGGGGGGCTGTGCCGAATGTCAGACCCTTCCATGCTGCTGTAGTCCCCGGATTTGACCTCCAGGCGCTGGTCCCTCATGAGGCAGGGGCTGTGCTGGAGGGAGTAGGAACCCCCAATCGGATTCGGGGAATATTTGTGTCGAAGGCCCGTCTTCATCTTGGGGCTGGAGCCTGATTGCTCAACATAGACGAGTTGCCGGACGTACTCCTTGCCGGCAGGGCTGTACTCCAAGCTCATGAAGCGGTCCGGGCCTTTCTGCTTGGTCAACACCAGCTGCTGGTAAGGGGAGTTGGAGCCCTGTTTGGGTGACTGCAGAAAGGGATGGGGCTTACGGATGGGGGACTTCTGGGGTGAGCCAGCTTTGTAACTCCCACTCGCCTCAAACTGCATATCCACCGGCGGCTCATCGTAGATGGGGGCCTGGTACTCCATAGGAGGTTCCTCATATAAGGGAGGCTCATAGGCGTAACGTGGGGAGGAGGGCTGGGACTCGCTGGAGTGCTTGCGGTGCTGGGCTTGAAGTGGGGAGCAGAAGGACTCCCCCCGCCCCAGCAGCGGGGAGCAACTGCCCACATGATCTGCCCGTTTCAGGAAGGGTGACTGCTTCCTGTCTGGGAAGAAGACAGAGTTGTCCGAGTCGGGGGTAAAAGTCTGGAGGTTAGGGGACGGCTGGCCACCAGACGGCCGACGCGACCGGCTGCCCTGCTGGCTGTCCATGGTGTAGCCATTGCCCTGGTGCATGAGGAAGCTGGGCTCGCGATCCGTCACCTTGATGAGCATCCGTTCCTTTGTTCCTGTGTTCCACCTGAGAGATGATGCCCTGGGCAAAGGAAAGAGAACACAAGACAGGAATCAGAAAGGAGGGGTATAGAGAAATGCTATTATAAATCACACCGCTTGCCACCTCTGTAATAATAGTACGCATAATATATCCCAGCCACTGGCACCAATTATAACGAAATACTATAATATATCCCACAGCTGAACACCACTGTAAAGGATTATATATAATATCACACCACTGGACACTAGTATGGTAGCGAGATGATGTTAGATATGTGTATTGGTAGGGTGAACGCTGCTTTTCTATGAGTCTTCTTTTGGAATAAATGCTGCCACCAACCTAAGTAGTTTTAGGATTTTTAAAATGAATATTTGAGGTAAACTTTTCCCACTCCTGCCAACACTGCTTTTTCCCCTGGCTGTTTGATAAGAGGCTTTTCTGTAGTAACAAGATGTTAAAAATGCTGGAATGATCCCCAAGGCTTGTTGATAGAATGATGTACAATAGAGACCTTTTTGAAATTAAATAGAAAAAGATTTATTTATTTATAAAAACAGACAACCAACTACTTCTGAGAGGTCCAAAAAGCGTCACTTGTTATGAAAGTACTTCAGCTTAATGGTTGCTTGAATGAGGTTCTTCACTTAGTTACAGACAGAGTTAACCAAACAGATCTTTCTGCTGTTAACAAAAACCCTCACTCTACTTCAGAAAAATAGTAATGAGTTCTGACTAACCTATCCTAGGTAGTCCCCTGGGTTCTTCCTGCTAACTAACCCAGTCTAGAGAGACAATCTCTTGTGCTCACTCCTACAAGAAATCAGGTTGCTGTCTGACCTTTCCTGTCAGCTCACAACACTGTCTGACACAGACACTCTCTCCCTGGAAACCCAGTTTCAAAAACCCTTGTTCACACACCATCTCCCAGTTCTCAACTCTCACAGAAGCTGAGATCTTTTCCCTCCTAAGACTTGGCTCCTCCCACTTGCTCTACCCAATCCCAGAAGACACCAAACTCCTCCCCTCCCCTAACTATCCTCACTCAAGATGGCTGCCTCCCTGGCATACACTCCCAAAACGGAGGACTGCCATACTGTTATCTAGGCTTCTTTTCCAGCCTACAAGGGGCAACACAAGAAACACTTTCTTGTAAATACATACATTTTGTTCTATATATCCTTCAATCAATCAGACTTTATTTACATCCTAACCCATCTCCCCATGGGGACTCAGAACAGCAATGTATATAAATAAATAAACTGGACACAAGACTTGCCCGCAGAACTCCTTTTAACTCAGGGATGGTCAATGCGTAAACATAAACACGGGTCCAATGTTACACATTCTTTTCCATTATCTGAATCTGAAGGAGGCTCTCAGACGTGGACCCAGTGACTCCACTGGGTCAATGTCTCAATCTCTAGAAACAACATGCGAACCGAAGTCTCAATCTTCAAAATTAGTGACATAACTACTGTATTGTTGAAGACTTTCATGGCCAGATTCACTGGGTTGTTGTAGGTTTTTCGGGCTGTCTGGCCATGTTCCAGAAGCATTCTCTCCTGACATTTCGCCTGCATCTATGGCAGGCATCCTCAGAGGTTGGGAGGTCTGTTGGAAACTAGGAAAATTGGATATATATATCTGTAGAAAGTCCAGGGTGGGAGAAAGAACTCTTGTCTGTTGGAGCTAAGTGTGACTGTTTCAATTGGCCACCATGATTAGCATTTGATGGCCTGACAGGTTTTAGGTGTGGCTTGTAACTGCCTGGGGGAATCCATTGTTGAGAGTTGATTAGCTGTCCCTGATTGTTTCTTGTCTGAAGTTCCCCTGTGTTTTGTTCTTTATTTAATTTTAGAGGTTTTTTTTAATACTGGTAGCCAGATTTTGTTCATTTTATGTTTTTTTTCCCCTTTCTGTTGAAATTGTCCACGTGCATGTAGATTTCAATGGCTTCTAACAAATACCATGTAGCCTGACATGGTATTTGTTAGAGAGGTCCAGCATTTCTTTGTTATCAAATAATATGCTATTTTGCTACTTTCCAACAGACCTCACAACGTATCGTGGCTAGAATCACTGGGTTGTTGTAGGTTTTTTGGGGCTATATGGCCATGTTCTAGAGGCATTCTCTCCTGACGTTTCACCTGCATCTATGGCAGGTATCCTCAGAGGTAGACCTCACAAACTCTGAGGATGCTTGCCATAGATGCAGGCAAAACATCAGGAAAGAATGCCTGTAGAACATGGCCATATAGCCTGGAAAAAACATACAACAACCCAGACCTCACAACCTCTGAGGATGCCTACCACAGATGCAGGCAAAATGTCAGAAGAGAATGCTTCTAGAACATGGCCATACAGCCCGAAAAACCTACAACAACCCAGATATAACTACAATTTAAGTAGTCTTGACTTGACAGAAGGTATATTATTCTGAAACAATACAGCCAAACTTTGGTTCTCGGCCAAGTGAGGCGGGACAGACAAAATCCCAGAGAGAGGAGCGTGCCCTACAAGCTTTGTACCTCCTCCACTTTCTCCCAGCTTACCACACCAACAAAATGCCTGTTCACACATAAGGATCTGGACTTCATTAAAGCAGACCTGCCCCTACACTTTGATGTATTTTAAGCTCACAGAAATGCATGTTTTACTGGAATAAAAATGGCAAAAGAAAAAGAAACAGGAAGACTCTCACACACTTGATTCTGTGCCCTCGAGGTCCCAGACCTTCCTTACAATTACCATTCCGGTGGTATTTCCTCGAGTGAGGCATTTTGGACTCCTAATTGGAATTTGCTGCAGAGCCAGAGGTTTTCTTTCCTGCTCCCAATTAATATTTCATGATCAGAAATAATTATAATCCCCACATAATCCTTGCTGAGCACCATTAACTCTATAGAACTGTACTACTGAAAATGCACTAGGACAATGACTTCCACACTTTTTGCGCTGAGAGTGAATATTTCTACCACTGAGTTGTCCGAGGAAAAGTCCCTTAAATTTCAGCTCTCCCGTGTTTGGCCCTGAATCCCATTCACAAACTGGTATCCTCCACATGGGCTTAAAGGTAACCTTAAAAAACACAGAGAACTGGGAAGCCCTGGCTGTTGCACCCCTGGACAGGAAATGCCCTCTGACTGTAAACACCACACTGTTGATTGGAAAACAATCATTTTACTGAAGATAATTTAAAAGCAGCAAGTAAAAAGCACTGCAAACAAATAGGTAAATCCAATTAGGTAAGAAGATAAGCAGGACCAAAAATAGTCCAGGTAAAGTTCAGCAAAGTCCATAAAAAACAAAGTCCACACTCAGGCCCGTAGCCAGGATTTTGTTTTGGGGGGGGGGCTAAAAAAATTTCAGGGGGGGGTCGGGGGGCTGAGTTTCGGGGGGGGCTGAGTCTGAGTGAAAGAGGGTCTAGCCTAGCAAACCTTTTGTATCATTACCCCAATACCCCCATGCATATGGGATATATTGAGTATGGTGATCAGATCATGATATGAATAAACATAATTATAAGTTGCTTACCTGTAACTGTAGTTTCCTGAGTAGTCACCTGTGAATTCGTACACTTGATATCTCTGCGCATGCGCAAGCAGCTTTCGGAACCTTCTAGAAATAAAAGAGTGCCAATCAGACCCGGCTAACCCCGCCCCCCTCACCCCGAGTATAAGAACCCCGTAGGCGGGGTTAGCCAGCAGTTCTCTTCCGCCGCAAAGCAGCCAGAAGGCGTGGCATGAACTCGAGGGGAGGAGGGCGGGTGTGTACGAATTCACAGGTGACTACTCAGGAAACTACAGTTACAGGTAAGCAACTTATAATTTCCTGTCGTAGTCACTGTGAATCGTACACTTGATAGACTAGCGAGCTGCACATACAGGATGATGGGTATCATGCCATCGCTGAGAAAAGCACCGCTCTCCCAAACCGAGCATCCCTCCTAGAGACAACGTCTATTTTGTAATGGGAAACAAAGGAAAGAGGGGAAGCCCATATAGCTGCTCGGCAGATGGTATCTAGTGGGATCCCCCTCCAGAAAGCAGCCGATGTAGAGACTGCTCTGGTCGAATGTCCCCTGACGGGAAGAGGGAGATCTCTGCCAGCCAGTCTGTAGGAGAGTTGTATTGTCGACACAATCCAGGAGGAAAGCCTCTGTGGAGAAACAGGTAAGCCCAGTATATCAGAGCGGTATTTGATGAATAGTCTATTGGTTTTCCTGAGGGAGGATGTTCTGTTTGTATAGAAAGCAAGAGCGCGACGGACGACGAGTAAGTGCAGATTTCTTTCTAGAGGTGAGGTAGAATTTTGAAAGAAGGAAGGTAAGATCACTTCTTGTGATGCATGAAAACGGGAAGAAACTTTAGGTAGAAAGGCAATGTCGGTTCTAAGAACGACTTTGTCTGTGTGGAACCTGAGATATGGAGGATCTACCCTAAAAGCACAGAGTTCGCTGGCGCATCTGGCTGAGGTGATCGCAACCAGAAAGACGGTTTTCCACGACAAATGGGTGAGGCTGATCGTTGCCATAGGTTCGAAAGGGGGTTTTGTTAGAGCAGTTAGTACAAGCTCTAGACTCCAGGAGAGAGTAATAGGGGTTATGGGGGGTTTTGTGTTCATGATTCCTCTCAGAAAGGTTCTAACTAAGGGGTCTGTGAAGCAGGAAGGAAGGCCTCGCTTCCTCCTAAACCAGGATATGGCAGCCAGGTAACACTTTAGAGAGGAATGTTGTAAACCAGCTTCCGATAGTGACGTCAGAAAATCTAAAATAAACGGGATGGAGGCAACGCCGGGATCTAGACCTCGTGATCTTGAAAAAGAGGAAAACCGGTTCCACTTATACAGGTAAGACCGTTTAGTGGAGGACCTGTGGGCTGCTTCAATTATCTTTAATACTGCGGGAGACAGGTCCGAGGTGTAAGTCAATCTTTGGGTATGATCCGCCACGCGGTTAACCTCAACTTGTACACCTCCGGGTACAGTACTAGATCCCGCTGTGAGGTCAGCAGGTCCACCCTGGGAGGGAAGCGAAA